ACTATTATGTTATAGATAATTTATTATAAAATTATTATTAATTTACTATGAAGTTATTGATGATTTACTATAAAGTTGTTAGTAATTAACTAATTTACAACTAAACTATCATTAATTTATAACTAAATTATCATTGATTTATAACTTAGTTATTAGTGATTTAATATGACGTTATTAGTGATTTACTACTAAATTATCAATAATTTACTATATACTGTTATACATTTACTATTATATTATCATTGATTTACTTTTAAGTTTTAGTGATTAACTACTAAATTATCATTAATTTATTGCTAAATTATTTATGATTTACTGCTAAGTTTATAATTTAATTACTATTAAACTAAAACATATTTAATATTAAGTTATATGTAATTTAATATTAAATTTTTTTGATTTACCATTAAATTGTCAATGATTAACTATTAAGTTATCATTTTTTTTAGGTTATCATCGATTTACTTCTATGTTATTATGCATTACAATTATATTATAATTGATTTACTATTAAGTTATTATGCATTTACTATTATATTATTATTGATTTACTACAAAGTTATCAATTATTTACTATTAAATTATTATTAATATACTATTAAGTTATCACTAATTTACTATACTAAATTATTACTGATTAACTATTAATTTATCAATGATTACTATTAAGTTATATTGATTTACTTTTAATTTTCAATTATTGATTACTACTAAGTTCTAAATTATTTACTACTCAATTACCATTAATTTATTATTAAGTTATTTATGATTTACCACTAAATTTGTCAATTAATTACTATTCCCTTTATCTGTCCCAGTTAAATTATTATTAATTTACTACTAAGTTATCATTAATTTACTATTAAGTTATCACTTATTTTTATTAAATTATTCTTAATTTACTACTATATTGTTATGTATTTATAATTATGTATAAATATTTACTATTAAGTTATTTTTTATTTACTACAATATTATTATGTATTTATTAGTACGTTATTATTGGCATACAATTATCTTATCAATTATTTACTATTAAATTATTATTTATTTACTATTAAATTATCCATAATTTAATATATAGTTATCATTGATTTAATATAAAGTTATTACTGACGTTATTTAAATTATCACTAATTTACAATAAAATTATCAATAATTTGCTACTATATTACTCTTTTCATCTTTATTTGTTTGTCTTCTATTAACTATTACGAAGTTTAGGAAAAAAGTTTTGACTTTAATGTATTTAATGTTAAAATTAAATTTTTTTTATAAAATTAAAATTTTATGTTTTTTAATGTTAAAAAGTAAAAAAAATCATAAAAAAAATTTAAAATATAAAAAAGTAAGAGTTTTAGATGTTTAAAATAAAAAAATAAGCCATAATTTTGGGACATCACAAAAAGAAAAGATGGACAAAAAAAAAAGACTGAGGGAGTATTATACATTTAATATTATGTTATAATTTATTTACCACTAAATCTTTTATAATTAATTTAATTGTGTAAAGCATATTAATAGGTGAAATGTGTTACAAACACTAAAATATTCATATATAGAAAAACTATTTTAAGTCTTTCAACCGTATTACTTACAGTAAGTGGGGCATGAATGACTTAACCAAGAAAAATTATTTTAATAAAAAAATAAAAAGTAGAAAATATTTTAATTTGCTAAAAAATATTTAATAAAAATAAGTAGAGATAATTTAATAAATTATCACATTTTATACATAATATAGATATATATTAAATATCTTCTTAATTATAAAATCTCTTATTTAAAATAGGTTATAAAATCTAAAGTATGTAAATATTTGTTAGTATTCTAAATTTTTAGCTAAAATTTAAATAACTATTTATATTAAAGTTGGCTAAATTCCAAATCCAATACTTTTTACACATTAATTGAAAAAAAAATTATAGCTCATATTATTGTCTATAATCTAATACTTTTTTTTATCATGTTCATATATATTGTGATACATTGACCCATTGAGTAATAAATAGACTAATTTAGTAATCTTAGGATCTATATGAAATATTTATTGATTCATTTATCTTATTTTTGTATATATATAATTTAATTTTATCAATTGAGTTAAATTTTTATCTTAATTGAAGGTTATATAAATAAATATATTTTATTCTGCATCCTTATACTTCAAATTTTTTATCATGTGACTAATGAGTTTAATTATAAGTCTTCCTTTCTTTATGAATTAATGAATTAGTTAAACAAACATGATTGGCATGTAGTGTATTATTAATAGAAGTCAACCAACTTAAAAAAATCCCTTTTAATATTGTTTGGAATTCATATTTTTTTTATGTATATATCATAGATGATATATGCATTTATGTATAATAAACACACTCATTAAAATAAAAATAATTATTAAATAGATACTTTCATGATAAGAATACAAATCAATAATCATACACTTTAAGTATATAAACAAATAAAATGAAATGAACTATAACATTATTGTTTCAAAGAATCTAATAATTGGTTAGAGAACTAACAAAGTTTTGATCAATTAATCAATATTTTTTACTATCAAAACACAAAAATATGTTAGAGTATTCTTAATTGAAAAAAATAAATTTATATTTTGCAAGAAAAAATCATAAAATATATTGATAATATAGTTTTTAAATTCCACAAATAAAGTTAGCTGTATGACATATACCCTTTAGGCTTTAGAGTATATTAAAAAAAACTAATTGAAAAAAAATGAATGATGTGTTAATTTCTTAACCAAATTGTGAAGATTAAAAAAAAAAAAAAACTCAACAAACAATATATCAAATAATTTCTTTTCTTCAAGATTAATGTTTCTGACTTTGGTTTCATAAAAATATCTTAAGTACTAAATATTTGAAATTAAATATAAAAAAATAAAATAGACAGAAATTAACTTGGGTGTAGAATAGAATCAATCTATAAAAGATAAAATAAAAACTAAGCTTAGTAACAATTCAAGGGTACATAAGATTATGTTCATAAAGTAAAGATTCATTTAGGCATTGTAATATTAAAATGTGATTGCATAGAGTGATTAGAAATATTACAATCAACCATTGCAATAATTAAACATATAAATGTATATTTATCATAAAAATACAAAAAAATCAAACATACAAACTTACCATAATACGTATATTAATCTTTTTGAATAATTTTTTGATAGTTTAATTTATAATTTTGTATGCACTTTAATTTTAATTAATCTAAATTAAATAAATAAAAAATATAAATATATTTAAGGACTCATGATATATATCATTAAAGAAAACAAAGAGTAAATTATATTAAATCTTGAAAAAGAAAAATTATATGCTTTACTTAAGAAAAAAGTTAAATGTTTTGGAGGCATACATATTATGATATAATAATTTAAACTAAAACAATTAGTAATTGAGAAACAGGAAAAATATTTTATCTATATTTTATCTATATTTTATTCAATATCGTGTACTCATAGTATGCCACAACCATAAGATGAGAATGTGTTTTGCATGAATTTGATTGAATTATTACTTATGAAATTTAACAAAAAAGAATTCTAAAAATAAAGATGAGAGTAAATTTGAGTTAATTTTAAATAACAGATCCACCATATGCCATAAATAAATTTTGAATGTAGTTTAATTTGATATAAATTTTATTTGTAAATTTTTAATTGATTTAAATTTAAATAACTAATTAATAAAAAATTATATATTTAATGACAAATAATTTTATTAAATAAATAAAAAATGCTAGAAATTGAAATATAAATATATTATTTTTTAAAATTTATAAGGATATTTATATTATTCATGTTTAACACTTTTATATTTAAATTTAATAACTAACTAATAAAAACTATATATTTAATGACAAATAATTTTTATTAAATAAATAAAAAATGCCAAAAATTTAAAGGTAAATATATTATTTCTTAAAATTCATAAGGGTATTTATGTTATTCATTTTTAATACTTTTAGAGTTGACAATGAAAAATTATATGCTTTACTTAAGTAAACTTAAATGTTTTTAGGGCATACATATTATGATATAATAATTTAGACTAAAACAATTAGTAATTGAGAAACAAAAAAAAGATTTTGTCTATATTTTATTCAATATCGTAAACCCATAGTATGTCACAACCCATAGGATGATAATATGTTTTATATGAATTTGATTGAATAATTATTTATGAAATTTAACAAAAAAGAATTCTAAAAATATAGATGAAAGTAAATTTGAGTTAATTTTAGACAACAAATCCACCATATCCCACAAATAAATTTTGAATATAGTTTAATTTGATATAAATTTTATTTGTAAATTTTTAATTTATTTAAATTTAAATAACTAACGAATAAAAAATTATATATTTAATGACAAAAAATCTTTATTAAATAAATAAAAATGCTAGAAATTGAAATATAAATTTTTTATTTTTTAAAATTTATAAGGATATTTATGTTATTCATTTTTAACACTTTTAAATTTAAATTTAAATAACTAACTAATAAAAGCTATAAATTTACTGATAAATAATCTTTATTAAATAAATAAAAAATGCTAGAAATTTAAAAGTAAATTTATTATTTTTTAAAATTCATAAAGATATTTATGTCGTTCACTTTTAATATTTTTAGAGTTCACACTTTTATATATAGATGATATATATATATATATATATATTGACACACCTTACTAGACACATGATACAACCAATTTCATTATTTCAACTTAAAATATTAACATACACTAACAATTTGACCCTTGCCAAGTAATCCAAATGCCAAATTAAAAACAAAACAATGACAACTTCAATCTAATTTTACATATACTTGCATGCATATATAATACATGCATACATTTGCATACTTTTCACGTTGAAGACACACCGTCATAATACTAAAATCTTATTAAGAAGGGGGGGGGGGGGAGGGATACTAAAAATCAATTATTTTGGAGGGTGGGGGGCATGAAGTGATCATTTAAGAAATGCCAACACGGTTTGAATGAGAGTGAGCACAACCACCATAAAAGCAGCGACAGTTCCAGTTCCTCGCCAAAGATTGGTGAAATACACACGCTTCAGAATTGCTAGATTCTCCTTGCAGAATGTTGCTATTACGTGCTTCCGAGCATTTTTGTAATATTTGTTTAATCGACTCCCTGTTTCCCGGTAGCAAGCAGCAGGCTCGCCTACTCCCTGCATAAGTTTCTTAATCATACTTGCCAATGCTTTACTGGGATTTATTCTGCTAACGATAATTCCCTCGTTTTTACCGTCTTTGCTTAAAACCCCCTTTTCCATTAACAAATCTACATCTTTGTCAGATCTAATGAGATAATTCATTAGTTCTATGTAAGCACAAACATAGGTTTCACCTGGATAGTGGCACATCTCCAAGGCCATCACGTTGCGAATGTAAGCTTCCGTGTTCGAGTGCACATTCAATTTGGGGATTTTAAGCTCTTTCCCTTCAAATTTTATATCGAGCCAGCTTGCACTTTGATCATCTACTGGTTTAAGCTCAACACCAGCGTCATGCAACATTGTCGCACTATACACTGATTCAGTTTTTCTTTTTTGGGCCATGGATGGATCTGAATTTGAGGCGCAGTTTTTAACCAGATGGCATCTCAACAAACCGGTGAAGTGTAGGATTTCTGCATCCTCGAACCTTTTATCCCATGGAATATCAAAGTAGAGGCAAGCATGATAAAGAAAGGGAAAAGCAGAGGCAGGGGCAGCACAAGAATCAAATTTGTCTTCACGAGGGAAGTTACAGTATAACTTATATAGTTCTTCAAGCACAAAGAAAGGGATCTGATTTTCAAGTAAGAGCAAGTCCCTCCGAAGACCAGCTGACCACGTTCCTTTTAATAAGAAGTCTTTAATTCCCAACTCTTGTGCATTTTCCTTCTCATAGTTCCTCAATAAGAGCTCGACGATAAAGAGTGCATCATAAAATATCATCACTACAATGTCATCGTCTATGATGGATGATGCTTCATAACAGTTGAGAATTGCTTTTTCCTTGTGCTCAACGAAGCGCCAAAAATCTTCCAATGTCTTAGTCGAAGTCCTTTCACAAAATTTCTTTTGATAGCTCAATTTATACTTTGCCATTTTAGCCAAAATTTTTTTTCTGTAATGAAGAGGGCCTATTGAAATTAATTGAGGAGTATAGGCTTTTTCATTTCCTTGACGAATGTTCTTGGGGACCTCGTAGATAAAACCTTCCACGGACCCAAGCTCCAAATCATCATCATCTTCCGAGTCATCGTTTGCTGGATCTTTCTTTTTCCCAAATGATGGAGCGTTGATAGCGCGTAATGGATCCCACCTCGGTGGCATTTGTTCGATCTCCTTTTCATGTAAACAAAAGTCAAACTGACTAGTTAGCACGGAATCAAATCCTGAATATTCTCATTTTCTCTCCTAGGCCTAGTTGCTCTGATATGAGTTCTTGTTTGTAATATTTGGTTCTTGGCCAGCATTCGGACAACCACAAAAATTATGGTATTACTACTTAAAACTTAGAATCTTAGGGGCATTGTAAATTTGGGTTAAAAGATAAAAAGGTACTGCTGTAAATATGATTATCCAATGAACCAACATCCTGGTAGGTAGCAAAAGCACGTTTTCCATAAAAATCACCAATATAGTTTGTAAAGATAGGATTAATTTTTTCACCCAAAAAAAAAAAAGACAGGATTAATTATGTTTTCAGTAATTATTACCAATTGTTTTTTAATTGAACTAACCCATATGCTCATCCTCTAGCAGTTCTAATGACGCTAATAAGAAGAAAACAAATTCGAAGCAAGAAAAAAAAAAGGTTGTGGGGAGCAGGAGGAGGATATATATAGTACTATTAACTTAATAATTTTCCAATTTTCTTTTATAAAGAAGGAACACTAAGATTTTAACTCAACCCTCATCTTCCGATATCATTTGAGCTAAGTCAAAAGGACGTATCGTTGATTTCAAAGTTTCATCTTGAATGAAAAAAAGACGTTTTAAATAACATGAAAAATGATAATTTTTTGATAACACTAATAGAGAGATAAAACTTACAGTTACAGGAAAACAAATGGCCTTTAGCTTCCAAGACTAAAATTTGCTGGAGCCTGGAATTACAAATAGAGAGAGATGGAAGGGAAGACTAGTTCACGGACTAGAAATATGAAGTTTCCTGAGGTTGGTAAATAGAAGAGCACCTGCAATGTATATATATATACAAGTATAGGTGTTCTTCCTTTTCAGTCGAAGAAAAATCGTTGAATATTGACGTTTATCAAGAGACTAGGAAGAGACAAAATACAAACATGCTTTTCCTGCTTTAAATACTAACACTATTAAATAAATAAAAGCTCAAATTACACCATTGGTTCTTGTAATTAGGTGAAGAGGAGGATTTAATGCTATAAATTTATTTTTACAAATTGAATCCCTCAACTTTTACAAATTGTAAAATCCAACCCAATCACTAACAAGATTTCTAATTTGTCGTATTGATATGAGCGTCGAACAATGATAATTGTTATTGAGTGTGACGATGCGATGTGTTTCTGACATTTTGCAAATATTTTTGAATTATATGATATTTATGTGAAATTTTTTAATCACGCTACATGATCAATAATTTTTAAATAAGTTTTTAGCTAAAAAGGAATTTGTAAAACTGGGTTTATAATGCCTACCAAATATACGATTATTTAAATGGTTTTGTAAGAAATAAAAAATTAAATCTCATTTTTTAAAAAATAGAGGAGACAACCAAGACTTCAAAATGAAAATCTTCATAATTAATTTAATTGAATGCAATTTATATTTAACTATAGAAGTTAAAGTAAAATTTTTTTTTTTGATAATTTAACTTTTCAAAATTTTTGTTTTATTCATCTAACTTTGAAAAATAATATTTTGGTCATCTATGACATGAATATACCATTTGAACAAAGTACAATAACATGGAATAAATCCTAATCTAATTATTTTTTAATGGGTATGTGGTCAAAACAATACATTATAAATGTTGATGACTAAGAATAATTTATAAAATTTAAAAACTTAAATCGATCAATGATAATCCAATAAAATACATACTTTCTTGAAAAACTTCAACCCACATGATTTTAAAAACAATTATTAAAATCATTAACATGCAACTAAACATTCAAACACATAAATACATATTTATCTTTTTATTATCACATAAAGTAGTGTAATAGATAAATAGATACATAAGTCTCAATTGGTGATTAAATTTTTTTTATAAATATATATTATTTAGGTAAAAAATCATCACTTTTGAAATAAAATATTATATCTAACGAATAATTTTTTTTTTAACAATTGAATTCAAAAGCTAAAATCATGATATTCAAATGTCACAAATAAAGATTCTCACAAAACAAAAATTCTCACAAAACATGTAATCTTGCAGAGCATTCTATTGTCAACCTTAAGGCATTTGATTGTTCTAAACAAAATTTTAAACAATGTGAAAAAAGCAATTGACTGCCAGTTATTCTTGCTAGTTTTATTTCAAAGTCTATTTGTATATTTTTAAACTTTTTTTGTTTAACACAAATGCAAATTATATGTATTTTTATCAATTATTGTATAAAAAAAAACTTAATAAACACCTTTTAAAAAATGTATTTGGTAATATATTCAATATCTAGCCATTTCTACCACCGTGCACCATCATATTTGGGGAAGCGAAGACTATCACTGCACCTGAACACTAAGCCAAAAATCCCAACCCCGTCGACCACTCATCATCAACACCAAATCCCAACACCTGGTTATCCAGATCATCGCTTCCATAGGTACTATAGATCTAAGACAAAATTCAGCCAACACTCACAACACAAAAACAACAAAGAAAAAAGAAACAACAAAATAGAGGAGGATTTTCGAGTTTGAGGCAATTTTAGGTTTCGAAAAGTTTTAGGAAAGTTTTATCCAGGTATTGAGAGAGGAGGAGGAATTGAGGAAGAAACAAAGCTTAGAAAAGCCACAGTTGATGGCATCGGAGGCAGCGGCAGAAGTGGTGGAGTTTATTTTTCAGAGTCTCAGACAAAATCATTACGATAGTTGATAAAAAATAATATAGATAATGCTTGAAATATTTAGAACATAATTTGAATAAAAGCAATTAGATACTATTTTCTATTCATTTTATTCTATTCTGCATATCAAAATATATGCATAGTTTATGTGCAACCTAGTGTATATTTTTAGTATGTCCTTTGTACATTATAAATTTAGTATCTTTCTTATCACCATACCATGACCATGTTATTGTAGCAAATATCAACGCGATTTTGGATATTGTTGCCTTAGTTTCCATTCCCCCCACCCTGCCTCCTAACTCAAAATTTTGGATTCCCAACAAATAGACAATGCATAAAATATAAATTTAAGTGTGAAAGATGCTTACATATACAACATATTTGAAATTGAGATTATTTTACAATTTTTATTGATGCAAATATAATACATTAAATATGAATTTAAGTATGAAAGATATTTGCAAATGCATTCTTGAGTGGTCATCAACCTTTATACGATATTATTTGAAGTTTATTATTTTTATCGGTTTTAGTCTATGCATAGATAACAAATTAAATATAAATTTAAGCGAAGGACATTTCTTACATATATGACATTTGCATGATATGACATTTTTATTAATTAATGCATATGATTCATGCATCGCCCATGCGTTAAATATGAATCTTAAATAAGACACAATTAATACAAATATTTACAGATTTTTTTGTAATCGTATGGCCTATGTTCATCCTGTTTGAAAATAGTGTTTTGATTGCCATGTCACTTGTGCGCTGGGACGATGCCATATATAACGTCAAGAAGGTGCCAAACAGTGGAGTAAATGACAAAAGAAGTTGAGACTAGTAACGATAACAGGCGGATTTTTATTCGTTTCGATTTTATAAAAATTATATTTGATTTCAATTTAATTCAATAAAAAATATTTTTTATATTCAATTCGATCTAATTTATATATATATATATATAATTGTAATTGATTCATCTTGAAATTAATATAACAATTTTAATTTAGTATAATACTTATAAAATATTATTTTTTAATATAAATTACATTTTAATTATATATAAATATAATATTTTTATTAAATTAATATTTTAAATTAAAATATTAAATAATAATTTTATTAATATAATACATAATATATATAAATAAAAAATTAAATAAAAAATTATATATATATATCGGGTGAATCTATGGGTTTACCTAAAAACCTACTTCGATTTGACTTGACTTTAGAAAAAAATCTGATACGACACAAAATTTGATTTAAAAAAGACTAATCTTATAAAATTGGATATATTTACCATCCTTAATTGAGACTAGTATGAAATGAATCGAATTATAATAATACAATGGTCTTAAAAGTGTTTAGAAGGGCCATGGCCCTTACCTGCTCCCTTGTTCACATCTGCTTGTCCGATTGTAGTGGACAAAGTTATAAATGAAGACAAACATTGGGTTGTTACTATGTTTTATTTGCTTTTTGCTAGCTGGTTTCTTAAATGTGAAAATATTGATTGAAAGCAGAAATACTTATAAATGTGATCAGCACAAAGAATAAAAAGTTTGGTGAATGATAAATAGATCTGTTAAAAAAAAGTTAGATTATTTGTTTGATTTGTTGGGTTTGATTTTATTTAAGTACAATTATTATAAGATTTTTTTAAGTTTAAATTCGGTTTAATTCAATTTAAATTATTATTTAATTAATTTTGATATTTTAATATAATTATCAAAATATTTTAATTTAAAATATTTAAATATTAATTTAATTTAAAATTTAAAATATATTTTTAAATATTAAAAAATATTTTAGTATATATTTTACTACTACAATAATTTTTTTTTTTTAATTTCAGGCTTCCCAAGGCAAGCCTTAGACAGATATTTTGAAAAGCCATTTGAATTTGACTTGACTTGGCTCGACCTATGAGCATTTCTACGATAAGTGGTAAAAACACTAACAATAAGGTGTGTTTGATAAAGTGAAAAATAAAAGGATGAATAAAAAATAAATAGAAAATAAATTTTGAATATAGTTCATAGAAAAAAAGTAAGAGAAAGAAAAACAAAAAATAATCATTATCCACCCTTATTCATAAAAACCTATAATACCAAATTAGGACGATAATAAAAGATAAAATAAAAAAGATGTGACTCAAGTGTGCATGGTAATCATTATTTTTAAATTTCTTTTTATCTGCGCTTACAAACGATATAATAATAAGATAATATAAATTTCATTTTTTATCTTATTTTTTAATTT